TGACATGTGTTCTGGAAATGGAACCTGGGTCCTCTGTAATAACACCAAGTGCTCTGAATTGCTGAGCCATTTCTCTAGTTCATCTTTTTATTTAAAAGTTATTTCCATAAACTGATAACTAGAAATGTATAATACCAATTTCCATGCTTACTTCTTGATTCCATCTCTTCCCAAATTTCTTCCAACTCTTTCCTTGTTATGTGTGGGTGAATAAGTATACTGGAATACATGAATACAACCAGCCACATCATTTTTGTTGGGTGTACTGATAAGTTGTGGGACTGTCAGAACTACTACACAGAGAAAACCTGTCTCAAACAATCAAGCAAACAAATAAAGAATAGAAAACTTAGGGTGGAAATACCTTAGCAGTGATAAGCACTGACGATTCTTTGAGAGCTTCCATTCATTGTATATAAAGAAGCTCACTACTGTCTGTAAATCATATATCAGGAGTTATGACACCATCTCCTGGCCTCCTTGGTCATGATAAGAAGGGGAGACTTAAACCATAAAAAGTATTTTCAAGCTATGTGCAGTAGTGCATTCTTTTAGTTCCAGCAATATGGACACAGAGGCAGGAAGATCAATCTGAGTTTTAAAGTCTGTAATACATAGTCTACACACACACACAGACAGACAGACAGGCAGGCAGTCAGACACACACACACACACATACAGAGGAAAGAACAAAACTTAATTACTTACAAGAATAGGAGCATTGAAGAATTGGAACAATACAATGCCTGTCAAGTCATTTCAAGTGTCTGACACTGACTGCCACAGAACCATTTTCAAAAATAAATATAGCTAGTCATGTGAGCACATGCCATTAATCCCAGCCACTGGAAGAAACTGAACATTTGACAGTGGGCCACCGACTTCCCATGGACATTAACCCATAAAGTCATAGAGTAGGACATGCATTGCAGCAATCTATTATCAAAAGGATAGAATACATAAGAGAGTAGACCTGCTGGGTGCTGGTGGCTCATGGCTTTAATTCCAGCACTCGGGAGGCAGAAACAGGCAGATCTCTTTCAGTTGGAGTCCAGTCTGTCTAAAACATTACACAGAATATCCCTGTCTCCAAAACTGGAGAGAGAGAGAGAGAGAGAGAGAGAGAGAGAGAGAGAGAGAGAGAGAGAGAGATGGAGCCAGTTATGGAGCCAGTCCTGGAACTCATTTTGGAGACCAGGCTAGCCCTGAACTCAAAGAGATCCATCCCCCTCTGCTTCTCAAGTGCTAGGATTAAGAGCCTGTGCCACCACCGGGCAGTGGTGGCACATGCCTTTAATCCCAGCACTCGGGAGGCAGAGGCAGGCGGATCTCTGTGAGTTCGAGGCTGGGCTGGACCGATAGCCTCCAAAACAATACAGAGAAACCCTGTCTCGAAAAAAACCCAAAAAAAAAAAAAAAAAAAAAAAAGAGCCTGTGCCACCACCGCCAGCAGGCATTTTCTTATTAAAGATTTGGGGGGGTTGTAGAGACAGGGTTTCTCTCTGGCTTTGGAGGCTGCACTGGAACTAGCCCTGGTCTCAAACACACAGAGATCCACCTGCCTCTGCCTCTGCCTCTGGAGTGCTAATATTAACTGCATGAGCCACCACTGCCCAGCTTATTAAGGGTTTTAAAATGGGCACACATATCTAAATAGAGATATTTGGAGGTGATAAAATCCACCTTTACCAGCTTGGTGTTGGTGTAGATCTTTAATTCCAGCTCTCAGGAGCCAGAAGCAGTTGAATTTCCTGAGTTTATGGCCTGCCTGGTCCACAGAATGTGATGCAGGGATACACACAAAAATAAAAAATGAATCCTGAGAAAAAATCCATCTATAATCTGGGGCACACCTTTTGGTGGCAGTATACATACAGAAAGGATATTGAAGAAGGAGAACTCACTCTTTGGCTGCTTGCCCTAGCTCTGGCTACTGAGTTTATTCCTTTCCTAGCATTAGAGCCCACTTCTTTGAAATATTTGTGTATACTGAAGATGGAGACAGGGCTTCTATATGGCTTTGGAGGCTGTCCTGGAACTCACTCTGTAGACAAGGCTGAACTTGAACTCAAAGAGATCTGCCTTCTTTGCCTCCCAAATGCAGGGATTAAAGGTGTGTGCCACCACAGCCCACCACAAACACCTTTTTTTGTATCCTAAAAATCTCTCTTTATTTTTCAATATTCTGGGCATTCTTCCGTGTGGTGAATAAGAGAATTATTCCAGTCTACATTGTGTAATGGTATGGGCAAGCTAGGTACATTGTACATATCCAGGTGCCAGTTACAAGATTCTCCCACATCACTAAAGTGTACTGCAGGGGTTGCCCGATGTTTTTGCATCAGAGTAAATTCTTTATCATCTGTGTTAAGGTGATTAATGGTAAATTAAGCATGGCTTACTAATTGATGAAGGGAATAGTGAAGACCACTAGATTTTCATCTTTGAAGTACCTTAAGATATTGATGAGTCCTTTCTATGATTGCCTCACCTTTGGGGTTATATGGAATTCCCATTATATGTTCTGTACCTTATTGAATGCAATGCTTTACAAAAGCTTGAGAAGTATAAGGTGGAGCATTATCAGCGTTTTTTTTTTTTTTGGCACACCAACAAGGAGAAACATATAAAAAGATGCTGTATGACATCTTTCACAGCCCCATAAGGTCATGCAATGGCCATGACCCACAGGAGAGTAGGTGTCTACAGTAACATGTACATAAACTAATTTTCTAAATTCTGGGACATGAGTTACATGAGTTTGTCACAAAAGTTGAGCCTAACGTCCCTTGGATTAACTACCATTTTTAATGGATGATATCCATCAGAACATTGTTCATAATCCTTCACAATTTGCCTACCCTATTCTTGAGTCAAATTGAAGATGTTTCTCAAGACCAATGCATTCTGATGATGTAAAGTGTAACTTTCTAATGCTTGTTCCACCTCACTAGCAATCAATATTCCTTTGTTAATAAATTTGCCATTGCATTTCCTGAAGCCAGTGGACCTGGCAGGCCAGTGTGTCCTCTGATATGTCTGATAAAAATTATTCTTTTTCTTGATTGAATTATATTTTGCAAGTGAAACAAGTATGATGCAATTTTAGAATTTCCAAACATAAGAGCTGTCTCTGTATCAGGGAATAAACTACATATTTGGAATCTGTATTAAGATTAAACTCTTCAGGTATGTGTTCAAGGACAGAAAAAACTATTATAATTTCTGCCTGCTGGGCTGAAATTTCTTTGGCACTTTTAATAACTACAGGTTTATCTTTTCTATAGACAGCTGAAGTTCTACTGGATGACCCGTCTCTGAATACCAAGAGGGCATTGGAAATAGGATCCAATGCTATTCTCGAAAGAAAAAAAGATTATCTCTGATTCTTCTACAAACTTTAATATAGGGTATTGAGGTACATTATTTTTGATTTGTCCCATATAATAAGCTAATGCAACTCCCCAGTCATCTATAGTATAAAGTTAATATTCCAATTATTCCCTGGATCTTATCCTTTCCTTAATAAATAATTGACTGCACATGAGAGGATAAAATATTATTTTCACTTGAGTAAAAAGAAAATTCTAGGACACCTTCTTGCCATAAACAATCAGTAGAGGTGTAAGATGTTTTGAGAATAATAAAGGACAATGGTTTTAGACACTTTTTTTTTTTACTTTGGATCTTGCAACCTGTTTCATTAATTCTAATTGTTTTAAGGCTTCTTTTGTAAGCTCTCTTTTAGATTTGGGATCCAATTCTCCTTTAAGAATTTCAAATAAGCAATGCAATTGTCCTGAGGCAATTTTTTAATGAGGTCTATTCAAATTGATATTTCCCAATAATTTTGAAAATCATTAAGTATCTTTACTTTATCGATTTTAAGTTGCAATTTTTGAGAAATGAAATATGCACTATGAATTGTTTTCCCTAAATGATTTATTGGCTTGTTATGCTGAATATGGGAGGGGCAATAGTGAACCCATGCTGAGTCAATACCTCAATCATATTCTTCAAAAATTAATCCAGGTTAAATCCTTTGTTTTTTTTTCTGTTGTAAGACTGTCATCTATATCATGTAATAAAAAGCCTTTGTATATTTAGTTATAATAGATAATAAGGCTTGATCTACAAATTTCTGACAAAGAGTTGGATTAGTTTCATACCTTGGGGGATAACTCTCCATTGATACCTTCGAAATGGCCTTCGAAAATTAATAGTGGCTGCGGCAAAAGTGTCATCTATTTCTGTATTATAAGGATTTTTATCATGAAAACAATCAACATCATTTTTCCTCTACTTCATTATCCAGTTCCTGTTGTTCCTCATCAATCATTCAATCATCCCCTGGCTGTGCCTTAAGGAGATTGGCAGTAGATGAGGAAGCATCACTTGACTTAGTTTCTGTACTCAGAGGAATTGCCTCATCTTCTGAGGGTGCTTCTTCTGCAAAGATTTCCATTTCTGACTTTTCTGAAAATCTCAAATTTGTACCCAGAATGATAAGGCCTGAACCAGAACTTCTTTAGGGCCATGGCATTCATTCTCTCATCTCTTGTGATGCTTTTTTCCACCCTTCTAAAGACAGGCTTCCTTCCTCTGGGAACCATGGACTGACATTCAATACAAAATCATAAAATGCTGTCAAACTCTTCTTTGAGGTTTTACCACCTCATCTTTCTAATATATGGCTCAACACTTCCAGGAACAGGCCTCTGTCCTTGGACTGTGAATGCCCCGTGATTCTTATTTTCTCACCATCTTAACTCAATGTTTTCTCTAAAAGAGTCTGCAGCACTTGGGAGAGGTCCCCCCCTTACCTGGAAAAGTATTTTTTAAGAAAACAGAGAGAAAAGAGAAGAGAAAGCATACCTACTTCAAACTCACATTGAGAGCCCTAGCTGCCATGGACTATCCCCAGCTGGGTATGGGAGTCCAATGGGATGAGGATCCTCGAAGACTAGGTGGGTAAGGATTTGCCAGTAACAAACAGAGAAGCAGTTAGAATCTGAGTTTATTTTCCAGTTATTAAGCAAGATTTTTTATACAGATTCAGTATCAGGGGTTGATATTTTAAAGCAAACCCAAACAGATACCATTATTGCTACTTGGCACAGTAACAAAGAAATCCAAAACATAAGATCATCCATGGTTAATCAAAACACAAAATCATCCATGGTTAAGGATAACCACATATTTCTTAAATCAAGTTAACAAATGTTACTGTTTAACATCTATTACCTAGTTCTTGTGAGTTTATTTAAAATGTTGAGCTATTTTAACTATTTTAACTTTCTTATTAAAAACTTTCTTTACCATGTGAAGCAAACATATTACTAATTTAAAAATAAGTTTTATTTACCACATATATAAACCCACTCATGATTACAACTGTGCAGCCATATGAAATTTTATTGATGAGAAAATTTTACTATTTTTACTCATGTGAATGATGTGAATGATTTGGAAAGCATTGGTTTTTATGGAGATGGTGCCACGGCTTTTGACCCCATCTCAGGGTATGGTTTCTCATCTATTTCTTTTCTTTAAAATGTCAGCACAGGCTTTTAGGAACATTTGATATGAAAAAGTAATAGAAGAAAAAATGCCACATGAACCATGGCACAATATTTCTCTCCAGCCAAGAGTTTCACAACCAGTTCCAGGAGACACCCTTCTTTTGAAGTTATCACCTCAGTCTGTGGAACTTGTAACACAGAGTCTACTGCATTTGATGTGACAGCATCAGTCAACTGAAAAGCCATGGAGCTTATATAGGGCTTCTTTCCAGGGAGAAGATTTCCACTTGGGATTGGTAGTATTTCAATCCCTGAGCTTGAACATGATCAGACAATACCTGGATTTTGTGCTCAGGACTGAATGGTTTTGAGTTCGGGGATTTGTTGGTTTAATGCTCAGTTGGTCAAAGATAGAGTGACTTTATTTGGCTCTGGTTTAAGGGACAGAGTCTCTTTCTCTTGCTGTCACTTTTTAAACATTGCCTCTTGTTTCACAGGAGGTGTTTCTTTCACTGGCTCTGGTTTCAGTGTGTTTCTTTGGCTAGGGATTCAAGGTCAGGGTGAGTTTTTAATGGCTCTTGCTTAAGGGCCATAGTGTTTCTATTTCAGTGCCTCTGATTTCATGGTCAGAGTGTGTTTCTTGCCTACTCTATTTACCCTAAACTCAGGGCTTCATAAATTTGTTTTTTCCCATGACTTTACTGGTGCAACCAACATACAAACAGTCATCATATTGCTTGTACAGACTGTTATCACTCTCATTTTTCTCTACAGAATAAACAGTTGTGTGTTGGCTAAAGATTATACCAAATCTTTTATACTAAGTAGACTTATTGTCTTTTTTCATATTCAAGACTATTTTAGTTTACAAAGGTTTCAACAGATAGAACGCACACAAAGTTTTGCATCTAGGAAGTACAAAACTTGAGCACATGACCATTATTTATGGGGTTTCACTGCAGTATCATTTTTTCTCATTATTTTGATACATACAACAAGCTTTACACATTGACTATATTCATAGGGTATCTATCCAGTATGTGTTCATTTATGTGTTTGGAGATGACTGTGACTTACAAAAGCTTTATTACTCTCAATACATTCATAGTGTTTGGTGATATTTTTTAGCTTTAACAAATGTTTCTCAGAAGATGAGAGATAGTCATGCTTGTTACACATACAAGCCAGGCACTGGTGGCACTTTAAATCCAACACTTGGGAAACAGAGGCAGATGGGGTCTGTGAGTTTGAGACCACCCTGTAGTACATGACAATGGATCAACCTAAAAGAGAAATAGAGCCAAGTGGTGGTAGCTCCAACTTAATCGGAGGAATAGGGAAGTGGAGACAGGGAGGAATGTGGCTGAGTGAAGAGAGGAATGTATGGAAGGAAGAGACAGAAATTCAGGGATCAGTCTGAGGTTTCATAAAGAAAGCATTCAGTGTGAGGATTCTAGGAGACAAAATGTCACATTTGTTCTGAGGATTTTGTAGAGGTAAGAACTAGTGATTGGTTGCACTGCTTCTCTGATCTTTCAGAATTCAGTCTCATACCTGACTTGGGGGTTTTATTATTATGAAAAATCAGAATTCTTACACTAACAGGGCTTTACTCCAGTATGTGTGCCTTTATGTATTTTAAAATTACTGTCACAGGTGAAGGCTTTACAACATTGATGGCTTTCATATGGTTTTCTCCAGTATAACCTCTTTTATGCACTTGAAGATCACTGGGCGGTGCAAAGACTTTACCACCCTGATTACATTCATAGGGTTTCCCTCCAGTATGTGGTTTTTTATGCCTTTGAAGATTACTCCGCTGAGCAAAGGATTTAAAACACTGGGTACATTCATAGGGTTTCCCTCCAGTATGTGTTCTTTTATGCCTAAAAGGAAAACTGTGATATGCAAATGCTTTACCTCATTAGTTACATTCATATGTTTTCCCTTCAGTGTGTGTACTTTTATGTCTTTGAAGATGACCATGCTGAGCAAAGGCTTTACCACACTGATTACATTCATAGGGTTTCTCTCCAGTATGTGTTCTTTTATGTACTTGAAGGTAATTGCGATAAGCAAAGGCTTTATCACACTAATGACATTCATAGGGTTTCCCTCCAGTATGTGTTTTTTTATGCACTTGTAGGTCCTTGTGCCAAGCAAAGGCTTTACCACACTGATGACATTTATAGGGCTTCTCTCCAGTATGTGTTCTTTTATGCACTTGGAGGTAACTGCGATAAGCAAAGGCTTTACCACACTGATGACATTCATAGGGTTTCTCTCCAGTATGTGTTCTTCTATGCACTTGAAGGTAACTGCGATAAGCAAAGGCTTTACCACATTGATTACATTCATAGGGTTTCTCTCCAGTATGTGTTCTTCTATGTACTTGAAGAGCACTAAGCTGAGCAAAGGCCTTACCACACTGATGGCATCCATATGGTTTCTCTCCAGTATGTGTTCTTTTATGTGTTTGAAGATGACTGTGCGAAGCAAAGGCCTTACCACACTGATGACACTCATATGGTTTCTCTCCAGTATGTGTTCTTTTATGTGTTTGAAGATGACTGTGTGAAATAAAAGCCTTACCACACTGATGACACTCATAGGGTTTCACTCCAGTATGTGTTCTATTATGCTGCTGAAGATACCAGTGCCGAGTGAAGGCTTTACCACACTGATGACATTTATAGGGCTTCTTTCCAGCATGTGTTCTTTCATGCGCTTGAAGATAACTGTGATAAGCAAAGGCTTTACCACATTGATTACATTCATAGGGTTTCTCTCCAGTATGTGTTTTTCTATGTACTCGAAGAGAACTGAGCTGAGCAAAGGCTTTACCACACTGATGGCATTCATATGGTTTCTCTCCAGTATGAGTTCTTTTATGCACTTGAAGGTCCTTGTGCCAAGCAAAGGCTTTGCCACACTGATGACATTCATAGGGTTTTACTCCAGTATGTGTTCTTTTATGCACTTGAAGGTCCTTGTGCCAAGCAAAGGCTTTGCCACACTGATGACATTCATAGGGTTTTTCTCCAGTATGTGTTCTTTTATGCACTTGAAGGTAACTGCGATAAGCAAAGGCTTTACCACACTGATGACATTCATAGGGTTTCTCTCCAGTATGTATTCTTTTATGCACTTGAAGGTAACTGTGTGAAGCAAAGGCCTTACCACACTGATGACACTCATAGGGTTTCTCTCCAGTATGTGTTCTTCTATGTACTTGAAGAGCACTAAGGTGAGCAAAGGCTTTACCACACTGATGACACTCATAGGGTTTCTCTCCAGTATGTGTTCTTCTATGTACTCGAAGAGCACTGAGCTGAGCAAGGGCTTTACCACACTGATGGCATTCACAGGGATTCTCTCTAGTGTGTTTGTTTTTATGCATTTGAAGATGGCTGTTCCATAGGTAGGCTTTACCACATTGATTACATTCATGGTGTTTCTCTCCAGTCTGTGTTCTTTCATGACTTGGAAGCTGATTGTCATATACAGAGCACTTATGACATTGAATATGTATAGAAGATTTCTCTCTGGTTGGAATTCTTTCATGCCTACAAGTATAATTGACACAATTAAAAGTTTTGCTACATTCATTTCTTCTGAGGAGGAGTGGACTGGGAATGTACTGGGGGAAAGAGGGAGTAGGATGAAGCAAGGGGGCAAGAGGAGGGCTGGGAGGTAGAACTGTGGTTAGAATGCAAAATGAAATCAAGATTTAAAAAATGAAAAAACCACTGTTGAATATTTATAACTATGAATTAATTCTACAATTTGTTCTGATTTTAAAAACTAATCAGATATTAAAATAATTTCACTTTGTCTATATTCATGTCATTCCCCTTCATTAAGAATTATTTTGAATATTTGAAGATGCCTGTCATACTAAGAAACTTTATTCTCTGTTTCACTTTTATGACAGTTTTTTCTCTATGAGATTTCTTATATTTCAAGAGAAATAATATAATCCATATATTTACCCCACTTTTTATATTGATAAATTTTCCTCTACTGTGATTCAAAGTACATTAGCAAAATGAACCAGGGCAAATAGAAATATTTACACATTGCTTGTACTCATAAGGTTTTTATGCAGAATGGTAATGTATTCCCAATGAAGCTGGAAAACCAAGCACATGTATATATGAATGATGTTCAACAATTCTGTTCAACATTCGGTCTATTACATATCTTCTAATTGTTCTGAGATAGAGAGAAGTGCATTGCCCCTTTTCATGTCCCTATGCTCATATAGATTGTATTCTGAGTGACATAAGATATACCTACTAAAGGAAGACTGAGAAATAAAAAGGTTTCCACACTGCAATAATGGATTTTGTCTTTGTGTTCCTCATGGACATAAGGTACAGGGATTAAGGATTTACATAACCACCCTCACCTAAAATCACAATTCTAACTATCTATCTGACTGTACTTAGCAAAATCAGAACTTCTATATTAGTAACACTAGCTTTACTATGGAATATTTGCTGATGAGAATTTTTGGAAATAGACTTATCACCTTCTCAATATTTATACCTTCTATAATATGAGTGGTATGAAACTACATGGATTTACAATTCTCATCAGCACACCTCTGATGGAGCTATGAATCAAATGGTGTTAAGCATTCATATCTTGTCTTCCTTCCTAAAAAAGGACTTGCAAACATAATTCACTTACCAGCTGTTGAGGTATATGGTCTCATGACAATTTAATGATAAACAATGCACTTTATGATGTGATTATTTACACTGCTGCTTTTCTTTGCAACTTCCATATACATTAAAGTATCTTTACAGGGAAATTTATGTCAGCAAAAACATTAAAATTACCTTCCATGCCTTTGAAAACTTTGACAAAGTTCTTCAATATTATTATCTTCCCATTTGTAGCCTAAAATATAGCACAAGGAAATATAGGATATATTATTGAAAATTGCTTAAAATTTAGCTGTCTCCAGTGATACTTAGAAAAATGACTGATTTATTTCCTCAGTCTTCTTCATTCTCAATCAACATTACAAAAGAGCATCAATAACCAAGAACCACTTTTCCTCTTATTATAATGAGTGAAAGAAACTCAAAAAATTTACCTATTACATTGAGGTTCATATAGGTCTCCAGCATCACATCTTTGTAGAGATTCTTCTGTGAAGTATCCAGCAAAGCCCACTCTTCCTGAGTGAAGTTGACATGCAAATCATGATAGGTGACTGCATCCTAAAATATGCCAGACATGTAAAACAAAAAAGCATGATAAAGACGGCACTGTAAATGCATACTTCTTTGACAGTATAGTCATATAATGATGCACTTTCCCATACTTACTCTATGATACAGTTATTATAATTAAGTCATTTTAGAAGAAGCCTGATGGGGTTTTGTCTCTGTCATTTCTGAATGCTCTGAAATAGGATATTATCTCGCAAGAGAAATGCCTAGTAACAGACAGAGACATGCAAGCAGATCAACAGGCTGAGTCTATATCAAAGAAATTGTGTGAATAATTACTTAACATAAAACATTGAGCAAGCTGGGGATATTGGCTCATGCATTTAGTCCCAACACACAGAAGGAAGACATAGGTATATCTGCCTATTAGGTGAATGCTAGCATAGTCTACTGAATCAGTTATAGGACAGCAAGAGGTAAATACTAAGAACCTGTCTCCCTTGCAAAAATCAATGAAATAAACAATAAAGACAGAAGAAGTGAGAGATGTATTCTTTTCTGCAGTAAGTATAAGAAGTTTTGCATTCATTCCTGTTCTGTATTCATCTTCATGAAACCTGAAGTGTTACAGTTTAAACTGTACTTTTAACAAAACTTAAAGAAAGCATTTAAACATAGACAGATGAAGACATTTGCAATATAAATGTTGATCACAAATAATCAACACAAAGCAAGAGAGATGCCTCAGAAGCTAATAGATCTTGCTGCCCTTGCATATAGCTATGCTCAAATGTCACAACTCACATCAGGGACCACAACTATCCATTATACCAAATTCATATATTGTAAAGATCATCTTTTGACTACTGTGAAGACAAAGCACACATGTTATACATATCAATTTATGTTTCCAAAGAATCATACTCATTTAATTGATACACATAAACACAACAAGCAGGAAGAATGTCACACACCTATAATTCAGTGACTCAGAAGCCTCACGCAGTATCCACATCTTGAATACTGCTGGATTGGGAAAGAGAATGAAGTCCTTTGCCAAATTTAAAAATTCAAGCTGGGGGTGAAGTTCATCAAAACAGCATATGCTTCACTTGTGCAAAAACTTGCTCTCTAGACCCATCACCCACTGATAAGAATAAAAGTCCCTAAAAACATAGACCTACCATTAATCCCAACATTTGGGAGCAAGAGTCACATGAATCTCTTGATGTCAAGGCTGGCTTGCTCTATAAAGAAATTTTTAGGACAACTTAAACAAACTTTTCTTCAGATACAAAAATAAGACTAACCAAACTTTTAAAAAATTAGACAGGCAAAATGTCTTACAATTGAATAACAATTGCCTGACCTGTATCTAATGTGGTTTTGTGATACTATCTATAATGGTGGTGAAGGCATAGTGTCAACCACAACACTGTAGAAACAATATAGGAAGTGGGTTGAGATTATAGATACAGAAATACATACCCAATAAGGAATTTCATCCAGAAAGCCTTCTCCCACTAAAAGTTAGACAGGCACAGCAAAGGAAGAATCAAAGTAGAGACACATATGTAACTATATTATTCAATCTGGGAATTTTTCATTCAGTCAAATAGATGATGGCCTAGGTCACTGTAAGCAAAGGGTCATCTATGAAGAAGGCATTTATTTACCTCAATGATTATCCTAGTCAGCAAAAGCCCCTGTACTGTTCAAAAAATGCACAGCCATTTTTGACACTCAAGACAATATCATGACTGTGTCATCCTATACAATCAGAAAGAAAAGTTACAACTTCCCAATATACAACGACACAGAATATCCATTCCCATTGTAAAACAGGGTTACAGTAAGTGCCAGCACATCCTCCAAAGCCATAGAGAAACCCTGTCTTAAACCAAAAAAAATACAACTACTGTCACAGAAGAAAAGAATTTGATCTCTTTCTTGCCCATGGCTTTCTCTGTTGCAACTAAACCTGCTTTACAGTTGATCAGTGAACTCAATTCCTACACAGATCCCACTTCATTTGTAAATATGCCATAAAATCTGGAGAAGTTGGCGGATACTCATTCACTGATCTATTTTTGCTTCCGTTAGAGCAGTCAAGGTCCACCCAAGGAAAGAGTGGTAGGAATGACTTTCCAGCATTGAGCAGCAGAGACAAGACTGGGTGTTTAAAGAAATTCCAAATTATATAGTGTGGGGCAAGCCTGAGCTATAGAAGATATTGACCTAAACCAGTGGTTCTCAACCTTCCTAATGCTGTGACCCTTTAATACCGTTCGTCATGTTGTGATGACCCCAAACACTAAAATCATTTTCACTGCTTTGTCATAACTATATTTTTGCTACTGTTATGAATTATAATACAAATATCTATATTTTCTGATGTTCTGAGGCCAGTCATGTGATAGGATCGTTCATTTGTTTCCTCCAAAGGAAGCCCAGACACCCAAAGTTGAGAATCACTGCTCTAAACTGCTATAAATAAATAAACAAACAAACAGCACTTAAAATTTTGAATGAAATTCTTAAACCCAGGAATGTTGAAAAATAGATAGAAAAATCAGTAAAGCATTTAAAGAAAATGAATTTTAAAATGATACCAATAATTGATGTTTTAGAAATGATGAAAATATGTGGAACAATACTTAGCTATAATGACACTGAAATGGAGTAGGCACTTGCCTGATAGAGAGAATGTCAGAAATAATGTTGTGCCCAAATTCTGAAGTCCTCAATTCACCAAGAGACACATTTCAATGCAAAAGCAAAGAGTCTTTTATTGCATTTGTTTAACAAGATAATCCCATTGGCTTGGGCCTTTCATTAATACACTACAGTAGGTGACTGGAGAAAGTCTCTGAGAAACCACAAGACAGGGATTTTATTCGGCAGCATGAGCTGTGTATCTCGGGGGATGCAACAGTCTCAGGATTGGTGCACTCATGGGCTTGGATGACTTGTCCTGTGTTGATTGGTCAACTGGTTATGGCCTATAGGCCCTCCAAGGTCAGTTACTATGCTCTGCAAACCACTTTTGTGCAAGTGTATGTAAAGCAAGCCAGAGCTGTAAAGCATTTGTCTGCCAGCTGACTTCAGATTGGTTCCTTGATATGAGGGCATCTGATCTCCTTGTGACCAGGGCAGGCACAGCAAGGTCAGTCAGACATGTGCTGCAGAGGCCTACATGTCTTTTCTGCAGCCTGTCATGGCTGCTTAAGCAGGTGGCTGGTCCCTTCAATAAGACACTGTATTACTTTGTCCTATGTAAACTATTAGCCACCGAGTACTGTTTCACAAATCTCTGAGCTGGCTTAACTGCACACATCTGCATAGGAGGCTTCTCTGATTGGAAACTGAATTCTCCGCAGTTCAAGGAATCCTCCATAAAATATACACCCATCAATTCTGTCTTTTTTCATTCACATGGAAATAATTAATGCATGCAGGGAATTTGTAGACAGAGAAAGTCATTCACCATGCCCCACCAGTCCTTCTTCATAATGCAGACCCCTGAATCTCACTGGCTTCAACTTCAGACTGTGATCTTGCTATCATCTAGTTTGTTTCTCCCAAAAGTGTGCATAGTGCACTGTTTTCCCCTCTTCTGGTCTGAAAGGAAAAATCATGCTTCAAACATAATTCATTTCCCTGTTCTACAATGGACAATACACTATGTGATTCAAACTAGCAATTTTAAGACTCTGTGGTGCTACAGATTTCTAATCCAATATACAAGGTAGTTTGTCAGGACAACAAAAGCAATGTCTAGTAGGGCTATAGACAGGATACAAGTCTCCTAAATCAATATAGGAGACCTTGACACAAAACTGCTTTGCAAAAGACTAGAGATGAAGCTCTTCTAGGATTAATATACTTTATGCACACCAAAATTAATGTGGGTTGTGATCCTGTAATGGTTGCTTGAGCAGCATCTAGAGAACTGACATTAATGGAGGGAGAGGCATTTCTGCTGCTTATAAATTGGGGTTGTCTCCTTGGTTGTTGGAATAGAGCTGGTTAAAACAGAGAAACAAACATTTACATCTAATCATACTGTATTCTAACAGTCATGGTTAGCATACTACTTGTCTTTGAAGTATTTGGAAGCAGTTATATATTACCTAAACTCGATTTTGTGGCTTAATGTCTCCTAAGAACTGGTAAATCTGTATACTATCAATTCTAGTCCCATAATGTCTATACTTCCATATCACAGTTTAGCAGTGGAGTGCTCCTCTTCACAGGAAATAGAGTTTACAAGCTCTATAGAATTAACTCCAAGTATATTCAAAACATAAATATTAAAGGTTCAAAGTGCAGAACTTCTGGAAGATACTAAAGGAACCACAGCTCTCTGAGGCAGGCAAATCTGTGTTTGCTAGTGACAGAACAAGCACTAAGGGTGCCTGCATTTAACAGTGATGCCAACAAGGATATTTCAAAGCACAGTTCCCAATCCCAGTGCTCTGTATAGGCGCAGCCAGTAGAGTGAACTTCTCAAAGAGTCTGCCGGCTGGCCCAGAGAATTGCAAAGACCATGCTCAACTCTTAGGATCACACAGAAATGAAGTGGTGCACCCAGGATCATTTGGACCACTCAAGACAACCCAAGACCAGGCAGTAACATGGAAAACTCTGCTTCAGGCCTCTTACTCCCACTCAGTCATGGGAGGACCCTCCATACTGGTTCCCATGGCTTGACTAGGCACTTCTCCCAGTCTGGGGATGGTAGTCCCAAGCTCACCATGTCATGGTTTTCCAGCTCCTCTAGGCTCAGCTCCCTGCAGCAGCACACACAGCACAGCACATGAGACCACCAGAACAGTTTCTCTACAAAATCAAGCCAGAAGGTGGCGGCAGGAAGGACCCAGAACAGTTTCTCTACAAAATCAAGCCAGAAGATGGCAGCAGGAAGGACCCAGCATACCTTCTGAGTGGCAGATCACCTGGAGGGACTGATTGCCTGGTGAAGCCTGACTGACAAGAGCTCCTCCCATAGGCCCACACTGTGCTTTAAGACACAACCCATTGGTTCC